AAATTTAATATGAGACTCACTTAGTCTCTCACTTGCCCTCTGGGCTATTTCTAATCCTTTGTCTCCTAATTGGGTCATCGACCACCCACACCTGGACGAAAGTTCCAGAAAGTATGGACAAAGGAACACAGAACAAAGAAAGAAGGAAAGATAGAAATATATATATATATACATATATATAAAAATATAACAAAAATATATTGGTGTACCACCACAGTTGGCTGCTCTGGCAATATAAAGCTAAGATAGTTCCAATTTAGAACTACGTGTCTCATATCCTGTTTGTAATTGGTTATCCCTAATAAGATTTTTATTACTTTTTTGTTTTCTATATATAAAAATAAAATTTAAACTTTACATTGCTGCAATATTTTGTCTAGTGCATAATCTCTGCACCCAAATCAGTCAACTTAACAATTACACACACTGATTACAATATTCCGTGTGATGCTGCATATTGCATGTATGTGCATGATTAGTATCACCAAGATGGCACTATAATCAGCTGTTTACTGCAGATATTCCATACAGTCTGTTTCAAAGGCTAGCTGAAGCATGCTCTGTAAAAGCAACCCTCCAAACAATTTGCTTTGCCAAATTCTTGAAATAGAAGAGGAAAACATATTATTGAGAGAATTAAAGAATAATATCAAACTAAACCTACAGAACAGCTAAAGTGGTTTGAATCCTTTTATAAAGAGTGGTTCTATTTTAATATAGCAAAAAAAAACTCTAAATTATACTTAATAAACTTTACTACAGTAATTACAATATCCATACTTTCTGCTTGATTTATATCATAATTTATACATTTTATTTTTGTGTGTTTATGTAGTTTGGTTGTTTTTTTAATCACTTATCATGATACACCATTCAACATAAAAATGCACATATTGGACTTTTATAACATTTGTCTTATTTCAAAAATGGAATATTGTAAACCATTATAGAATAATAAGCAGCAGCTTTGTTCTTTTGTAAACTGTAAAATTAAAAAACTCCTGAAGAAGGTTGATTAAGATCAAAAATGTTAGAATAATAAACATTCACTGCTTAATAAATGGTTACATTTTGTGTTAATGCTAGTGTACTTACTGAAGGGAGGTTCATCTGCCATACATACATATCAATACATACATAAATACATACTAGCTGTGATAAAATTTCAGATTTATTGCAGAATTAAGGACACTGTTCATTCATTGCTGTGATACCAAGTAATCATGATCATTTTAATCAAATAGCAATTAAGTTGTTTTGAAATATTCATATAAAAAGGTAGGTTTAGTAGGCCCATTACAGTCCACCAAGTTTGGACTGTAATGGGCTTACTAAACCTTATTATTTGACTAAATCCAATTTTTTTCCAAGAAATGACTAAGCTACTACCTAAACTCTACCATATATAATTAATACACAAATTACAGCATAATATTGAAAATTCTTCCACAAGACTTTGAATAAAAAAATATTGCGAGTTTTTCTAATATATAATTTTAAATACTGTACACTAATTGATTGCACGACTGGGGAATATATAATTTTAATACAATTAATAAAATCAAAATGAATAAATAACTGCTATTACAAATAAGTATAAACTTTTTTCATTTTAAATTAAAATATTACATTCAGGATTATATATATTATTATGATGATATTTTTATGACAAAATAATTATTTTTAATAATATCTTTAATGCTTTTTATGATTGTAAATAATTTCTATAATGGTTTTTACTCCTTGCATCATACAAAAAATGTAAACTTGTGAGAGATTTCAATGTCTTCCTTATATTGTATATGAATAACAACTGATTTATTTGTGTTTTTCATGCAATCAGCTCCTGAGGAAACCTGCACGATAGGTACGGATCCACTAACATTTGCATTTTCTTTATGCTTTTATCAAGTATAAAGAAAGCTTATTTGGATTTATTATAAAAGATTCAGATTATTGTGAATGAATTTGTTTTTTATAAGTTGTTTTAACTTTTAATGATAAAATTACTAATAAAATTACTAATAAAAATTATAAAATACTGAAATATTTTAATTAGAAATATTATTTTTTGTTTATGTTTAGTTTGAATTTTAAAAAATTTATCGTATAATTTCATTCAATATAATTTCAAATTTGAAAATATTTGAAGGTTTTTTTCTTTATAATATTAAATAGTATTTTTTATATTTTAGATTAACTTTTGAATTATATTATTATATAATTTATAAATACAAACTATGGATAAATGATATATAACTGTTCTACTCTCTTTCACTGCACCTCTGCTGCATGCTCTCTCTGTGCAATGAATGAATAAATTTTTAAATAATGATATATTTTAATAGTTTTTAAATACTTATTTTTGTATACTGTAGAAAATAAGAATATTAAAAATATTTCTGTATTTTTAATTTAATATGTATATAATTAGAAAATATCTTTAATGAATTCATTTTAAAATAGTAAAAATTTCTTAGATGTAAAATTATAAAATGTGTAATTTTTTTCTAGATATTTTTTATATATAAAATTAACCTTATTTTCAATGAAAAATGAAGTTAATTTTCTTTTGATGAAACAATTCCAGTATTAGAAATAACTTATAAAGGCCAAAAAGTATATTTAATATGTTATTTCAGGTACTTTTTACACATAAAACAGTGTTTGTAACAAAATCTCCTCAAACCTTTAACCAGAGTGCTTCTATTTTTAGAATTGCAAATGTTTTCATTGCCCCTCCTGGGCTCTTCTTCAGGCTATACCAAATGGGCCTTTAATATTCAAATAAACATTCGATATGAATCTCTTCCAAATTCTATCCTTTGAAATCCTTTGAATATTTCATCTCAACATCTGCCACCTCCATCTTTCTTTCTTGGGCTCTTGTTATTGCCCATGTCTCCATTCCATATAACATTGCAGATCTAACAACCGATTTATACAATTTTCCTTTCAGATTGCAGCTAACTTTCTTATCACATAACACACCACTCAGATTCCTCCAGTTCATTCATCCACATTGAATTCTATGCTGCACCTCCCAGTTCAATCCTCCTCCCATCTCAACAAATGTCCCAAGATATTTAAAACTTGGATCAAAAGGGAGCAGCACATTTTGGATTTTAATATTACACTCGTCTCTACCATTCAGAGTCATATAAGCTGTTCTAGTTCTGCTAATCTTCATGACCCTTTCTTCCAAAACTTTCCTCCAATCATCCAGTTCCTTCTCATCCTTGGTTTGGGGAAGTTCACACAGCACAGTATCATCCACAAACAGCATACTCCGCGGAGCCTCATACTTCACGTCACACACCATCACATCCATTATCAGGTCAAACAAATAAGGCTAAGGGCCGATCACTGATGTAAACCAACATTAACAAAGAACCCTTCTGAAGTGCCCACACTGCTCTTAACTTGAGTCTCTGCTCCCTCATACATTTCCTTGACGAGCCTAACATATTTTTCTGGAACATTCTTTTCCCTCAAACATCTCTATATCTGTTGCCTTGGTTACTCTATCATACACCTTTTCTAGATCTATGAACGCCATGTGCAAATATTCCTGCATTTCCACAAATAAAACTACAAAGTAATGAAATGAAAAGTAATGACCTTATTTTAATTAGTTTAAATTAAAAAAGCACAAAATAAGGAAAGTCAAAGATGGAAGAAACAAATATTAAATTTTTGGCTTCAGTTATTAAGTCATATTTGATTTTTTTTTTTTTTTTTTTCTGAAATGTCACACCAAGATTCCTATTCTGATGATCTCTCACAGAATAATTAATTCCAAATCCAGCAACAAAAGAAAATTTATTAATTGAACTAATGTTTTCAGGTTTATCTAAAGGTCATTTTTAGGTTCTTAAGCTGAAACAGAAATGGAACAAAAAATAAATTTAAAAATACAAGTGTTCGAAAGATGTAGTACATATACATGTCACATGTGTCATTTGTATATTCAATGTGGGTGCCGAATATACAAATAGTTAATGTTTAGCATAATAAAATATATAGATAAAAATACATAAAATAAAATACATAAAAGAACTAAAATAAAAAAAAATGTAATAAACAAAAGAATTAAAATAAAAATTAAAACTAAAATACATAAATGACATAAAAAGTATAACAAGGTCTCTTATAGAATTTTTAATCTTCATTTTTTTCTTTTCCTTCTTTTTAACATTTGACAATATATTTTTAGTAAATTTCTTCCTCAGATTTAGCTCTACTTCTAAGTTTCAACACTCAGAATTTGTATAAATAATGATAACTTGAGTTTTTACAATATTATTATTAATTTATGTCTTCAATATGTACATATAAGTTTGCTCAGAATCAAATAAGAATCAAAAAGATCATATTTGATTTAGCGTTCACAAACAATTTACAATACTAAACCAATGACTATTAATACTGAAATTGTTTCTCTCTCTTTCCTGATAAAATTAATGGAATATAACAGAGATTTGTTTTGAAAAATAATTTATGTTATTTGCTTTAAAATATTTATTGATGTAGTTACATCAATAAAATAAATATAAAAATAATACTTATTTTGTATTTTGAAATAAAATATTTTTCAGACTTGAAAAATCCAGAATACCAAGTATAGTTACCTGGGGATTAAGGACCATGGCCTGTAGACTTGCCCTTCTCTTCAAGCCAAATCAGGCATTGAGAGCCCCCAATAGCAGTGTGCCTCCTCAGGAAATGGACTCTTCACATGAATGGTTGGCCTCAACCTCACCTCCCCGGGCACAGCTGTTTTCAAGAGCTGCAAACTATAGTGTGGAGAGGGAGTATTCTCGCCCACTGGGTTGGATTGGTCGCACAGCCGAGGGCAAGTTTATACTGCGGGACAGTGGGGAAGAAGGCTTTGGGCCCCATCTCCGTAATCTTCATATTCCGTCCACCCAGGCTGGAGCCAGGACCAGTGGCCTCCACATCATTCGACAGTCATCTTCTTCCCCAGGACAACATACTTCCCCCAAGACTATTAGTCCTGTCTCCCAGCCTATACCTACAATCTATTCACCTCATGAAACCCACTTCCAAATTTGTAACACTGCAAATATTGGCGAAGAACATAGCTCAACCAATTTACACTCTTCGAACGAGCATTCCTTCCCTAGCACATTATCTAGTCATTCTATTAGCAGTGCTCAGCACACATCTTCATATGAACTTCCTTCTTTACAAACATTACACAAGTCCCACCAACAGGGTTCAGTGCAATGCTGTCATCCCACTGGCAAAGTTCGAACTTTAGTACATGCACGATCGATGTCGCAGGATAACTATTATGGGGCACAACCTGGAAGAAGATCAGAATATCATATTCGTAGAGAAGGAAAAGATTCAGTCGAATATAAGCATTTGTTTTCAAATGAAGTTATTCCTAAACATCCATCGAGTCCTTATGAACGTAAATCTACCTTTTTATCACAGCACCCTGGCATTCACCAACAGACTCTGCAAGCAAATAACAGAATTTCAAAGAATCTTACCCAACAGCCACCTCTTGCTACAAGCAGTCCATCACGACAGAATAGACAGTCCGAACATATGCCCTGTGTTCATAGAGATAAATTTCCAGTATCCAGGGAGAAAGAGAATACTGATAGAAGTGGAGAAAAATCAATGACATATACTCGTAATCATTTACTGGGAGCAGTGGAACGAGCTCGTAACATTGCCCTGAATCGTGGTGGACCCCTTCGACGTAGTGCTCCAGAGCTTGGTTACACATCTCAAAAATTAGTTCGTGTCACATCCCCTTATCCAAGTAATCATAAAGATCCTTATTTAATTTCATCTTCAGCCATCCACCAATCTTCAAATCCTGATAAAGCTCTCAGTGAGGATATACTCAGTGGACTAGAGAGGGAAATTACCATTGCATCCCGCAGTCGTAGTAGTATCACTAGTGGCAGTTCTGGAAGGGGCAGCAGTGCCCAGGGCAGTAAAGCTGCTTCTGTCACACAGTCTTGTGGAGATAGTCTTCAAGGAGAATTGGACTTTGCTGTTGTCAACCCAGCAATCATTAGCACTAATAGTTATGTTTCCAGAAGCCATTTGCATCCGGAATCTGTTCTTTCATCAAGGCATAGTCCTGGTAGTGGTGTCATACCCATCATTGAAACATTTCACCGAATTCCTTATCTCACAGGGGATTCCTCTCATTCTGAACCTAGTTATCCTTCCCCTGGACCATTAGATATCTCTGTAGACGAGAACTATGAATTTGATTCTGTCAGTCACATGGATTCTGAGTTGTTGGATAGATTGCAACAGTATTCAAATTTTCCAGCTCGATCAAGACCTAAATTTGGCAGCAACAACAGCAGTGGAGGCAGTGGTGAACGAGGCCTTAGTGATAGCGAACTGTACCCCAGCTTGTACCCAAGACCCAAGAAGCCCAGTAAATATGATAATACAGAAGCCAGGTGTGCTGCCCTGAAAGAAGAATTTTTAAGATTTAGGCAGAGACAGCAAGAAAGAAGGAAATCGGAAGAATTGGAGAGTGAGTGTTGAGACGAAACATAACAAGTTCATTCATTTGAAACTTAGCTTTTAAATTCTTAATGAAGTGTCCATTAAATGACATGCTTTCACTGCCTAGTCCTCATCGGACATGGCACACAAACTGCAAAAGGGGTGTATTTCCTCGGGGCATTTCTGTGACAATCTTGTCTGCAACAAATTAAGAGAAAGCTATAAGGATTTCTTCTTAAACTCTCAGAATTGAGAAACTCACTGATTGCAAATTTGTGTTCAATAACTCCAGGTCTTTGGGTGGTAGATGCAGTCCATTAAGCTGCAGGTTGACCAACACACTATTGTACTCCATATCAACTTGTACTACATCTGAGTTTTACATAATGCATCATTTTCTCAACAACATTCAATTCTTATAGGACCTTGTAAAAAAATTTAAAAATACAGAGATGAGTACTGCTTTAGAACCACCATCTATAAAATGTCTTCATGCAGCAGTAAAGTTGAAATTGAGCACGTTTATGCCATTATATTGTTGGAAGGCAATGCATCTTGAAGTGTTTCATTGCTATTGTTTCTTCAGCTCTCTCCAACAATTATTTCATTGTCAGCAGCTTCATTTCATTTTCATTCATTTCTTTAAAATTTGAGGTGAATGACTAGACACTCACATCTCTGCTGTGCATCAGACTGTAACCATCAGCATGTCTCTTTCTCAGTACGTGTGTGTCACTGCCTTAATTTGTGCCAAAAGCACCATGTGGTTGCTTGGTTCAAGTTGTTGGTGCTGGCCTTACAGGGAATTAGCACTTGATGTCATTAGAAGCTGGTGGACATCATTGTGATACAATAGTGGCTTACCTAAGAAAGTACAGATGACTTTCAGAGGTGGCTTTATGCGACAGAAAAAAACTGGAAGAGCAATAATGGATGCATTGCTCAACGAAAATTTTAACACAGAAGGAAAATGAATGTACAGAAACGTTTGCGTGTGCCATGTTCCTAAGGCAACGGTTCTCGACATCGTGAGGAACGGACGTAACATAGAGATATATCGTGAACTTTAAAGAATGATAATTATGCTGAAAATGTTTATCTAGAGCTACAAAAAAAGTGTACGTGAGAAACGATATTAGTGGGTGAATCAAAAATGTTGCTTGAAAGTTTTTTTGTTAGTTCATTAACACTGAAAGATGTTTTAGATAAATTGAATATATTAAAATCTTCATGCTACGTGTTGAATTTTTTTCCTTCTTGTTGAGTGGCTCTGTGAAAATGGACATTGACACATTCAAAACTTTGAACTCTGTGAAAACTTAAGTGAAAATTGTGAAAATAATAATTTTCACTTAAACTTTCCTCAAATTGTTTTATATGTCATTTTTCATTACTATGATGATAGATTAGCAGAGAATAGAATTTTATTGAGTACTCCCAATTGTTCTTGTTGTACAGCAAGTAGGAAAAAAAACTGTCATTTGTGTCCTGTTCTCACTGTCATAATATACAAGAAAATATGGTAGTGATCACGTTGAAGTCATCTATCTACGCTTAGTTATATTATTCCATTCCAAAAAACCTATCTCACGCATAAAACATGCACATACAAAAAGCTTTATTTTAATTTTTATTTATATGTTTACTGTTTTTTATTGTAAATATCTGGTTTTATATTTATTTTGTTATTTTTTTAATATGTTATATGTACTCANCTAAAAAAGATACACAATTAAAATATTAATATATGTTATCTTTTAAAGATTTCAATTTTGTAGATGAAATTATACAGCTTTGCTTCTTTAAAAACATTTTTACTTAACCAAGCAACACAGTTTTAATGATAAACTTATTTTACTTCTAAAACTAGATGTTATATGAATATTTAAAAATAGAGTATATGTTATAACTGTAATCAATCTGTAACTTTCATTTTAATAAAATTCTGTTGTTAGAAATATTCAATGACCTAATAATATAAAATAACAATGTTATTAAGCTAAATAGAGTAATAGTAAATTGATAACATTTACCACATAATAAATTCATTACTAAAATTTTTGAGTTATTTAACAATACATTATTTGAAATTTTTATTTCAACTTTTTAATATAAATTTTAAGATAAATTAATTCATTATTGGAGTATCTTTTATGTAAAAACAAAGATTTTTTTGTACAAATATTATATTTTACAATATCTTTACAATCTTGAAAATGAAATTAATAATGTAGATCTATTGCATTTAGATCAAGCAGTCTAAATGCAATAGCTTTATTTCCAAGATTGTGTAGTTACTACTAGATACTGCTGAAAAACATTTGAATTTATACAAAATGTCAAAGATACCCAAATAAAATGTTAAATAGATCTGAAGCATTAAAACATTGTAATCATTTAAAATTACAAATTTTTTAGAATGATTTATTCCATTTTTACACATATTTCTTTCATAAGCAAACTATATTCTAATTTCTTAATTTTATCTTTAAAACACAAAATGTCTTCTAACTGTAACACTGTGTTGAGTAATAACTGTCCACAAAAAACCTTTATATATCAGTGTTGTAACGAACACAACACTGATATATAAAGGTTTTTTGTGGACAGTTATTTATCTTTAAAATACATAAAAATGTAAATATTACTTTACAAGAACATTTACAAAGTTATCTTTATACTGTATATTAACTCTATAAATACCTAAAAAATTTCTTATAATCTTCTATACAAGAAACTTTTATTCTCTTATCTTATTAACTATTCTATTATATTAATTCTATTATATAATTAGAGATAATGCCAATTTATTTCATTTCTGAAAAATAACAGAAATTTTAAAATAACAAAAATTCTAACAGAGTTAATAGTTTTTTTATTGAGTTCTGTTTTATTAAAGCACTTATCTCTTGTATAAGTATATGTATTGAATATATACATATGCATGTACATTTTCATATTCTTTTTTATATTTTCTTTTATTCTTTCCTGGCTGTACGAACTAACTTATTTTTTCTCTTTTTTTTTACAACTGGCCCCCTTGTCATCACCGGAGAAAAAAAGGTGACTTCATTCATTTTCCTTTTCCTTCTATAAACTATATTTTACAAATACATATGAACATGAAATTATAAAATATTATTTTTGACTACAACAATTTATATACATCTTTTTTCTAATCCAGAAAATTTAAACAAATTTTTAAATTATTATTAATTACCTACTAGACTTTAAACTCTTTCTATAATTGATATAATGATTAAAATATATTTTTTAGAATAAAGGGAAAATTTAATATTAGAAATAATAATTTCAAAATAATTATGCTTATTGTAATAGCAGTTTTATTCTTCTAAAAGCTTCAAAAATTTATATTGTTATTTAATGTAGTAATTTCTGAAGAAACTGATTCATAATCACAAAAATGTAGTTATCATCACTTATCATAATTTAACAATGAGTTTATAATAAGAATAGTACATATTCTGAATATTTGATTATATATGATAATACAAGACAATGAGAAAATTTCATAGTTTAAAATGAAATAGATATGATATTTCGTTTTAAAAATATGATATATTATATAATTTTAATATATATATATAACTATTAAATAATCTAACAATCCTTTTACTTAATATTTTTTTGTTGCACATTTGACAGACATTTTTCAAAAAATGCGTAAATTACAGTATACAGGTCATTTATAAATTATTTCTGTCTGTATATAATCTATTCAACTATATATTATTTATAAATAATGACTCATGAATTTTGAAATGGCATATCTGTTTACAGAAATCAATCTTCATTTTATATATTACTAACATTTTAATCTTTCTTATTTCTTTTTGTTACATAATTTTAAAAATTTTATCTGATAAACAAATTATCCAACTTGTTTATCAGATTTTACATTTTTACACCAATACCTTCATTGTGATTTTTGTTTGTATAATCTGATAAAATTTCTATATATTTTTTACAAAATTTCCAGCTTATTGTACTGAAAATGTAATGAATCCATTAAAAATAACATATATTTATTTATAATGCATAATATTTAATAAAAGAACCTTTATGTATGAATGGAAAGCTGTGTGTATTATACCTGTGTTCAAAATTTATATTAGAGAGAATCCTGTCAAAAACAGAAAGCTAATCATGTATTGGAACAAAAAGCGTGACAAAAACACTCATTAGGAATGAAATCAAATCTATCAATTTTTATTTTGCTTCTACAATGACAAATTTTAGAAAATGATTTGAAGTGTTTGGGTATAGAAAATGGTAAGTATCATAATGAAAGTTTAGAGAAAATGGAAAAATTAATCATCATAAAAAGTTTTCTCCTTTGTTTACTTTAATCAGAATAAAGTATGTTTAGTATTTAAATTGAAATACATTGCTATTTAGCTATTAGCACACATCATAATGTACTAATTAAAATAGCACTTAGGCTGCCATATTTTATATTCAAACCCATTATTTTGTTAAATATAAAAGAATATAAAAATATTAGTAAGTTTTTAAATTGTTATGAAGACATAATATGCATGGCTTAGGCTTAATGAAATGCCTATTGTAGCCTATCTAAATGTGTTTTTAATTGAGCAAAGTTCTGCAGAATACACATTAGGACAGTTGTGTGGTGATATGCACGTGGTGAGGGTTGATTTCGCAAAGAAACGGGTATATAAAACAAATAAGACGTGCTTTATTATTTTCTGTGAACATATACAGGAAAGGTTCTTGTCGATTCCGACCTCCTGAGTCCTTACATCAAACAAACGAACAAACAACACCTTTTTCCGATTCACAGTCGAGCAAGACTTTCGCGATACAAAAAGACACTTAACTTCTAACTTAAACCTACTTATATCTAAAAAGAAAAGGAAAAAGGAAAAGAAAGTTAGATTAGAAGAGAGAAACGGAAATAATTTAGGATGGAACGGGTACCCGAGTTGGCGATTGGGGTGGCGGCTGCTGNAAAAAAAAAAAAAAAAAAAAAAAAAAAAAAAAAAAAAAAAAAAAAAAAAAAAAAAAAAAAAAAAAAAAAAAAAAAAAAAAAAAAAAAAAAAAAAAAAAAAAAAAAAAAAAAAAAAAAAAAAAAAAAAAAAAAAAAAAAAAAAAAAAAAAAAAAAAAAAAAAAAAAAAAAAAAAAAAAAAAAAAAAAAAAAAAAAAAAAAAAAAAAAAAAAAAAAAAAAAAAAAAAAAAAAAAAAAAAAAAAAAAAAAAAAAAAAAAAAAAAAAAAAAAAAAAAAAAAAAAAAAAAAAAAAAAAAAAAAAAAAAAAAAAAAAAAAAAAAAAAAAAAAAAAAAAAAAAAAAAAAAAAAAAAAAAAAAAAAAAAAAAAAAAAAAAAAAAAAAAAAAAAAAAAAAAAAAAAAAAAAAAAAAAAAAAAAAAAAAAAAAAAAAAAAAAAAAAAAAAAAAAAAAAAAAAAAAAAAAAAAAAAAAAAAAAAAAAAAAAAAAAAAAAAAAAAAAAAAAAAAAAAAAAAAAAAAAAAAAAAAAAAAAAAAAAAAAAAAAAAAAAAAAAAAAAAAAAAAAAAAAAAAAAAAAAAAAAAAAAAAAAAAAAAAAAAAAAAAAAAAAAAAAAAAAAAAAAAAAAAAAAAAAAAAAAAAAAAAAAAAAAAAAAAAAAAAAAAAAAAAAAAAAAAAAAAAAAAAAAAAAAAAAAAAAAAAAAAAAAAAAAAAAAAAAAAAAAAAAAAAAAAAAAAAAAAAAAAAAAAAAAAAAAAAAAAAAAAAAAAAAAAAAAAAAAAAAAAAAAAAAAAAAAAAAAAAAAAAAAAAAAAAAAAAAAAAAAAAAAAAAAAAAAAAAAAAAAAAAAAAAAAAAAAAAAAAAAAAAAAAAAAAAAAAAAAAAAAAAAAAAAAAAAAAAAAAAAAAAAAAAAAAAAAAAAAAAAAAAAAAAAAAAAAAAAAAAAAAAAAAAAAAAAAAAAAAAAAAAAAAAAAAAAAAAAAAAAAAAAAAAAAAAAAAAAAAAAAAAAAAAAAAAAAAAAAAAAAAAAAAAAAAAAAAAAAAAAAAAAAAAAAAAAAAAAAAAAAAAAAAAAAAAAAAAAAAAAAAAAAAAAAAAAAAAAAAAAAAAAAAAAAAAAAAAAAAAAAAAAAAAAAAAAAAAAAAAAAAAAAAAAAAAAAAAAAAAAAAAAAAAAAAAAAAAAAAAAAAAAAAAAAAAAAAAAAAAAAAAAAAAAAAAAAAAAAAAAAAAAAAAAAAAAAAAA